AAGAGATTCAACTGATCCCAGAACCGCTCTTCTCTACTGTTATCTCGTGCTGTCGAAGGAGTGGGTTCGGTTCCTTTCGAAACATTATAGCAATTCTATTGCTCCGAATAGGGATAGAACTCTCTCCTTAGACAATAATAACGTTATGTTATTGAAGAAAAGTCGTTCCCAGGCATAACTTTACTATCAAGATCTCGTTTTAGCTTTCGGTCGAGCACACATTCTGCAACATTAACCACCCTCCACCGTACAGTCAATCACTCGTTACGTCACGGAACCCTCTCACCCGCTACTTCAATTCTTTTTTTCTTACATTCTAAATCGTTTTTTATCGCATCATCAATAAAATAAAATCCATTTTTGAATATTAATANTGGTTTTGCATTTTCAGAAAAAATTTTGTCTTTTGATTTAACAAATAAAAAGCATCAAAAGTGACAAGCAAAATAATAAACAATATCTCTCAAAATTTCAGTTTTTACTTCTGATTACAGTTAAATCAGGCAACGTCTTTTTAATCTTTAGAACCGCATTTCCAATTATGTAACACACACTTTAAAAAATCATATCTCACTGACCAGTTACTTTATTTTAAAGCTTACAAATACAATTGCTTTACAATGCAAGGTTTATTTACAGGTGTCGGCAAGAAGAATCTAGAGAATGCGACAGAGTTTCGACAAAAGAAAGAAGAGTCAAAAGGGTTAACGAATTGAAGTTTCGGTCGAAAACTGGAGGGAACCAAGGAGGCAATACTGCAGGAATTGCACAAAATTCCAATCAACTTCCCGGTCCGCAGAACCGCAGAGAGCCGCGGGAGCAACATCCATCTTCGAGGGAAGAGAGATGCCGCCCGAGTATCGGTGGCATTTTAAACGTCTCACTTAAGTTTAATTCATTATAAATAAATTTGTATTTCATTCAACCATAAAAAAAAACAAGATACAGTTTATAAAAACAGTACTGGTGATTCTGGAGTTATAAATTTTTAAAGCGCGGTCATATAATATGGAATTATGCAGCACATAAGACTATTTGTCACTATTATTTCTGGTTTTATAGTCAAATGTTTACTTTACATCCTCAGATTCATGCAGTTTAGTCTACAAGTTTTTAGTGCCCAGTAAAAAATTTATCCAAACAAACAATAAATATGTGCACTCAAGTCTCTAACCTTCAAGTTTGAGAATTCTTTATCAAAGTATTATGAAAGTAATACTGTAATAAAAGTAATAAAATGGAAAAAATAAATATTTACAATTAATTAGAAGGGTCACTCAGCTCTTAATTAGCTTTCAACAAACAGAAAAAAAAAAAGTTAATTTATATCATAAAGATTCTATTGTTTGTACAACGAAAAGTATGAAGAAATAAAGAAAAACATTTTAAATATTGATCTATAATTTTTTTTCCTTATTTTCATTCGGAATAAATTCAATTATAATGTGGTTTACGAACGACGCGTCGCGTACGTCGCGCCGTACGTCGCGTCGTTCGTACTCTTTGAACTACATCCAAATTTATTTTCAAAAATACATTTTGAAACGAGGAAAGGTTTAAGCAAAAGAACTAGGAAAAAAATACGTATTTAAAGAGTGAAGTCCGGACTAATATTTGACGACGTACAGTATTGTACTATACAACACATCCGGCGAGCGCGTAACGGCGTAGCGTACGCGACACGCAAACCCACGTGCGGTTTTTCTACTCGCATCTTATTTTTGCACTGGATGTAAGATCCAGCACATAATAAAAAAAAATTGAATACTAGAAATAATCATTTTAACGGCAGCAATATAAATTCGGCGCGTCTACGCGACGCCAAGCGCGCTTGGCGTCGCGTAGACGCGCCGAATTTATATTGCTGCCGTTAAAATGATTATTTCTAGTATTCAATTTTTTTTTATTATGTGCCGGATCTTACATCCAGTGCAAAAATAAGATGCGAGTAGAAAAACCGCACGTGGGTTTGCGTGTCGCGTACGCTACGCCGTTACGCGCTCGCCGGATGTGTTGTATAGTACAATACTGTACGTCGTCAAATATTAGTCCGGACTTCACTCTTTAAATACGTATTTTTTTCCTAGTTCTTTTGCTTAAACCTTTCCTCGTTTCAAAATGTATTTTTGAAAATAAATTTGGATGTAGTTCAAAGAGTACGAACGACGCGACGTACGGCGCGACGTACGCGACGCGTCGTTCGTAAACCACATTATAATTGAATTTATTCCGAATGAAAATAAGGAAAAAAAATTATAGATCAATATTTAAAATGTTTTTCTTTATTTCTTCATACTTTTCGTTGTACAAACAATAGAATCTTTATGATATAAATTAACTTTTTTTTTTCTGTTTGTTGAAAGCTAATTAAGAGCTGAGTGACCCTTCTAATTAATTGTAAATATTTATTTTTTCCATTTTATTACTTTTATTACAGTATTACTTTCATAATACTTTGATAAAGAATTCTCAAACTTGAAGGTTAGAGACTTGAGTGCACATATTTATTGTTTGTTTGGATAAATTTTTTACTGGGCACTAAAAACTTGTAGACTAAACTGCATGAATCTGAGGATGTAAAGTAAACATTTGACTATAAAACCAGAAATAATAGTGACAAATAGTCTTATGTGCTGCATAATTCCATATTATATGACCGCGCTTTAAAAATTTATAACTCCAGAATCACCAGTACTGTTTTTATAAACTGTATCTTGTTTTTTTTTATGGTTGAATGAAATACAAATTTATTTATAATGAATTAAACTTAAGTGAGACGTTTAAAATGCCACCGATACTCGGGCGGCATCTCTCTTCCCTCGAAGATGGATGTTGCTCCCGCGGCTCTCTGCGGTTCTGCGGACCGGGAAGTTGATTGGAATTTTGTGCAATTCCTGCAGTATTGCCTCCTTGGTTCCCTCCAGTTTTCGACCGAAACTTCAATTCGTTAACCCTTTTGACTCTTCTTTCTTTTGTCGAAACTCTGTCGCATTCTCTAGATTCTTCTTGCCGACACCTGTAAATAAACCTTGCATTGTAAAGCAATTGTATTTGTAAGCTTTAAAATAAAGTAACTGGTCAGTGAGATATGATTTTTTAAAGTGTGTGTTACATAATTGGAAATGCGGTTCTAAAGATTAAAAAGACGTTGCCTGATTTAACTGTAATCAGAAGTAAAAACTGAAATTTTGAGAGATATTGTTTATTATTTTGCTTGTCACTTTTGATGCTTTTTATTTGTTAAATCAAAAGACAAAATTTTTTCTGAAAATGCAAAACCAGAATGTAGATAAGGCTCCTTGCTGTAACTTAAGCTGCGACCTAACCAAAGTAAGCTCTAGCCTGAGCTATGCCTCAGGTTAACTCTAGCCTGAACTATGCACTTTCCACCTCGTTATTATTCGGTAGAGGGAAAGCTACTTTTATGTTACAACTCTGTGCCGTAAGCGGTATAATACTAGATCTGCGGATTCTACAATGCAACAAAAACTTCTGTCGTAGCATAATTGCATTGTAATTTGAAAAAAAAAACTCAATAAAAGCATAAAAATGTTAATGTTTTCTATACTTAATACATGAAAATTACTTTGATAACACTGAAGCTCAGTTTTGTAATCAATTTAAATGGAAAGTTTGTAAAAAAAGAAACAAGAAAACAAATTCTAGAGTTAAATTGCTTTAAAGATTTTAAAATAAATTATTTTTTAATCTTGTAAATTTATTTAATTTTTAGGAAAATTAGAATATTTAAATGATTAACTGTATATTAAAATCAAGTCTGAATTATTATTACATATTTATTGTAGAATATAGATACATTGAGTGTAAGAGTTTATTTTCAGAGGAATATTTATCCATTTATCCGGTACTTGAAATGTGGAGAAATTTCACAAGATTTTAATTCAGATACCATTAAAATTAGGTGTAAAAAGAATATTTAATACTCCTAATATTCTTTTTGAAATACTGGCCAGTCAACAAATTCAGTTTAATGGCATTAATGTTCGAAAAATTAAATGGTTTTCTTAATAGGCTCGAATGTTTTTGACGTATATAAAATGCCATCCTCAGAAAACTCCTTTCCAAATAAATAAAAAAAATATTATGGATTTTTATGCTATAATTATATTTTATTATTAATGAAATTATGAACGCAGGCCTATTAAATTCTTTTACCTTTTTCCTAAATAAAATATAGCTTAAATCTCAATTTTATCTGTTAAATTATAAAAAATGTTTTTAAAAAAAAAATATTAAAGCATCAAAGATAAATTTATTTTAATTTTATCTTTCTAATGGTAGCATTTATTGGATTTAATAATAACTCTCTTTCAAATATGCCAGAGTATTTGTATACAAGTAATCAGATTCCTTTGGTTGGATCTGGGTTCAGACTAATGCACCGACTTAACAGAAGTTTCTAATGTAATGGAATTAGTTAGTAGAGCCAGAGGAAAGTCATTGTATTTGGGTGCAGATAACTCTGTCCCTATAATTGAACGGATCGTTGTCCTAAGAGGAAAAGGAGAAGAGATCTTTACCTGCTTGTTACCATGACGACCTTCCTACCATCAGACTTTAACATTATCAATCATTGACTCCTACCCACCTCGTCTCTTCCTCCAATATCTGTTCCTTCTCATACATTTGCTATTGCCATGTTGTGTTGTTCTGTCAAAACAAGTGATGAACAACTCTCCATTGTCCTCCGTTAGTCTTCCATAATCAGCAAATGCTCTGATTGAATTGCTCTATGGTGCGTGTCACACTCTTTTGGGATTCGGAATTGTGATAGAATAATGAAACCATTGTTAGTCTTATTAATATTATAATCGTGAATTAGTTGTGGTTTTCTAAAAGTGTTAATTTTATTAATTGTAAATTAATTGTATTAAAGACTTTTATTTAATTAAAAGTAATGTGGATGTCATTTAATAGTATAAAATTAATCATTTTTAAATGTTTTTAATTCATAATTTAATTTAATTTTTTTTTTTTAGTGACCTGTCCAGAAATTTAATCAGTAAAATTCAAGAAGGAGCTTTTCTAAATTTATCAAATGTAGAAAAACTGTAAGCATTTTTCATTTTAATTACTTTTTAATCATTATAAGAATGTATAATATACGTTTGACTTCAATACACATATTTATGTATGCGTGAATGCACGTGTTAAACTTATATTTACATGCAAACACACAGACGTACTGATCCAAATTAAATCTAATAGTTTTCTTTGTGTAGTGTGTACAATTGTGTCTTGTTCATTACTTTATTTTAGTGTGTTTATATTTATTTATTTACCTTTTTTACTTGAACTTTTCTTTCAAAACAACAATAGCTAATGATTTTCTTATTAGTTTACTTAGTTTAATTGGAGTCAAACAAATATACAAATCTAAATCCCAACTTTGTGTTTAAGTATATAAATTAGATATTACTAGAATTTTTCTGAATAATTGAGTTAAACTATAGTTTTAATTAGCGGCAATTGGTTTGCATATTTTAATTATTAGTATAGTTACGTTCATTTATTTAATGTTAACAATTGGCTGATCAGTTCGAGTGTTCAGTTTGCCACGGAATGGAAGTTTCTTTCCAAAAATCAATAAAATATATATAGATACGTAATGTAATTTCTGCAAGTTATTCTCACATAATCTATAATTATTTAAAGATTAAGAATTTGATAAATTGACCTTTTTAAAATTTAATAAAAAAGAAAAATTATGTTANTTTTTTTCGGTTTAGTGAAAAATAACGGAAGTAAAGTCCGTCTTGGATCAAGAACAGATCGGTAATTTTGAAAATTTCGTATTGTTTCGAACGGCCAATAGGATCGTTGGTCTTGCGTAACGTATTTTTCTTCTGTGTTTTACGTCACACGCTGCGTGTTCGGTACTTGTTAAAGTACAATAAAAGATCAATCATGGCGAAAGGTATAATTCGTAAAAATGGAATACTTCCAAAAAAAGAACATCTGTATAATATTAATGTTGTGCGTGTAGAATATTAAAAATAACACTAGGAGTCTCCCCGATAAAAGATGGTTTTCTATTCCCAGATCCATTATTTTCTTTACTTTTTAATAGAAAATAAATGGGTAATACGCATGGGATGTTTCCTACATTAATTTCTGAAGGATTAAAAAAAATAATACTGCGATCGGACGAAGAAAATAATAGATTGATTAACGTGATTGATAAAAGTTTGTGAAACTTTAATTGAAAGTTATTCTCTTCCCTACGCCCGGCTTCCTTCGTACTTACGATCCGCCATTTTGTTTTCATCGTTCTCTACGTTTGTACGGATACTCGTAATAAAATGTTACCTTACAATTTATACTCGTTTACAACACAGAATAATACTTTGTCTCGTTAGTATTGTTGTTCCATACACACTAACGATACTCGTATTTTGTACAGTACAGTTAACGGTGGTCGTAGTGTAAATTCATAATACATAACTAACATTCTGTCTGTATTATGTACTGTACAGTACGTTTAAGATACTACAACACAGCAATACTCAGGTTTGTGTGAGCCGTTAACAATACTCGTTATGTTGAATAATTCTCCATTTTATTTTGTATCCTCTACGTTTGTAGGATCCGTTAAAGACACTATTAATACGGTCTATCCTCCATTTTATTCATATTTTTTACGTTATTCTGACGATCTTTACGGCATAAAACAATACTCTGGTTTGTTAGTATTGTTCTATACGTTCGTACGACACACTAACGATACTCGTAACAGAACAATCATCCAGGTTCATAATACAGAACTATCCTTCATTTTGCCCGTATTATACAGTTGACCCCCCTATAACACTGTTGATAATTCCGTTTTATATGAATTCCGTGTTGTACGAGTAACTTAGATTTTACAAATACGTGAGCCGTTCACAGCCCGGCACACGTATTTGTAAAATCTAAGTGACTCGTACAACATGGAATTCATATAAAACGGAATTATCAACAGTGTTATAGGGGGG